TGTGAAATAAAAGTGGTATTTCTATTGGTTAGAGATGTGGTGACGCTGTTCAATAAGATATTTCTATATCTTAAGGTGATGTCATTGGCTAAAACAAACGGTGGCCACTGTTTATCTTATTTTCTATTGGTTCAATTGGGTGGTGTGAATAGTCAAAAGTAAGTTCTATTGATTGAAAATTAACTGACCATGGTAATTGCACATATAGCATAGTTTCACCTATAAAAGCAGCCTCCGGGCGTGACTCTTCCCACCAATACACATCAAGCTGAATTTCTACTCCATAGAAATTCTACTCCGTGAGAGAACTCTGGATCTACCTGTCAAAATATAATACTCTATTACATAGAACACTTTTGTAGGATATTTTCTACTCTGTAATCATGTATGTGTGTGTAGGAATATTTTGATAATATCCTTCCAAATTGAAGGACAGTTGATGGTTTTCTTTCACAGACTCCGGAGTTGAATGATGAAGACTATCCTAAATGACAATGAGTAAATGATGCTGAGCAAAACACAAGAAGATCCACAGAGCCTATATTAAACTATTGAAGATGAGATTCTTCAAATACTCCGTAGTACATCTGTGCATATATATCCTAATATAGGTAAATCATTGTATATTTGATTGTGTGTGCATGTGCATAAAGTGTTTCATCTATATAATGTTTAAAAAGTGTAAATTGTTATACAAAAACAATTCCAGATACAGTTTGGCATAAGTTGCTATCAAGAAACATCAACAAGCAATTTAAGAACTTGAATGTTTGGGTTTCTCCGTGTCTGGCCCTACAGAATGTTTCAACATGAGCGAGGGGCGAAGGTATTTTGAGGATTGGATTGGAAACGCTCTCACCGCCGGAGACGCCATCGGCCGGCGTAGTACTTACTCCGTATTTGTTAAGAATAAAAATATATTAAGAAGTACTACGTAATATATTTTTGAATCAGTTCAATATGTTAGAATTGACAAAATCTAATTGAAGTGACTGCATTGGTTGAATTTATGGAACCACAAAAAAAATACATTAAAAAAATAGAAAAAGAACATTTAAAATATATCTTATTAATAAAATTAAGAAAAAATAGAAAGTATTCCAAAATATTTCTGAAATAAAAAATATTTATAAAAAATGCTAAAATAAAAGTAATTTACGAAAATGTATTAAATATCTAAAAGCAAAATGTTTTTTGCTACAGGATTCCTGCTCAAAAACAACATCAAGAAAGTACAGGAGAAATAGTGAAAAAGATAAAGAAATAAAATAATTACATGAAGTAAAATTTCAAGGACCATAAAAGTGGAGTGCAATCCATGCGGGCATATAGAGTAGGAAAGTTGAGTAAAGAACGAAAACTTAAGTTCAACGGTATAGTGCATCAACGAAAATTTAAAGACAACAGTCCAGTGCATCGACGGTACAGTACAAATAATATTGATAAACGCAAATACATGACTCTCACCAATAGACTTTTTGTGTGTTATTAAATCTTTTCAAATAAAAACTTCTTTGAAGATGTATGTTTTATGTAGATACAATATAATTGAATATAAAGTTCATTGACAGAAAATTTTAAAAAATTGAAGCGACTGAATAAAAAACGTAATCAACAATATCGACAGATCTACCTGATCTGTAGGCTCACTACGGCGGGTGATTTCGCTACCGTATAGTGGGGGGTTGTGATCTTACCGTTGTCATGTAAATTGATCTATACGACATTAGTGGGCGACCTACTGCGGACCATCGGTGTCTTCATCCTTGGAGGTTCTGGGTTTTGGCGGACCATTGGCGGACAATGAGTAGAGGAATTCCACTGAGTCACTTGCTTTCGTCGGCTTCAAGTTAGGGGATTTCGATTTTCTTTGTAGTGGGTTGTAGAGGATGTCTTAGTCAGCCACATGAATGAAGGGTTTGATTCTCCTATTGAATGGACTAATGAGGAGCCGAGTGGTGAGGGATGCATTTTATTGGGCCTCAAACTTTCTAACGGCAATGGACTAATAATGAAAAGCCTGTTAAAATGCAAGGCCCCTGGAACTTAGTTAGGCAATGGCCCCTGCTCACAAGTTGCCAAATATGGTTACCCATTTCCACATATTTGCACCCCCTGAATTGCCTGTTTACCCCGGCAATTCGTTAAAAACAATGCAATTCGTATAATCCTATTACTTATTTGCTAAAATAGTTTACCTTCAATTAAATTATTTTTGAAAAGGGAAAATTCTTTGACAAAATCATTTGTGTGAGACAGAAACTGTCAATTCCCAAACATTCTTAAACAATTTCATATGTTAGCTTATCATTCAAATTTCGGAAGCGATAATACCCAAACATGACTATAAATAAAAATTAAAACAATCATTGTCGCGTCTTTGTTTGTTATTGAAAAAACATGTTTTAGTCGTGATTAACTTTATGCAGTTGTGTTTAAAGTAACCAATCTCTGACCATACAAAATATACATTGCAAACAACGACAGAGAAGAGGCACAGACAGTGATATCAAGAATTTGTGTATAAAGAATTGAAGTGTTTCATAATGTTTTTTAATGAAATATAATAGGGTAGTTTGGATTCAACATTTCATCCTCAACACGATGTTTTTTGGAATGATTTATTTGTTAAAAGATTGGCGATTTGGCTAGAAAGCCAATAACGAAGAGGTTTTCAAATTATTTTTATACTTCGTGTTACTATTTTTGTGGGGCTATAAAAAAAATTGTGTACTACTCCGCAATCATTGGAAAATTGTATTAAGTACTACCTTTGTCCCGTTAAAAGTTTCATATGGCAAAAAGACACGGTTATTAAAACAATAATTGAATAAGACAGTTTGAGTTTATATCAAGAAATAATTTTAATGGGTTTATGTTATAATATAATGAGATTAGTGTTGATAACTGTGATATTATAAATGTATTATTTTTAATACTTAGTGATTAATATGTCATTTAGGATTGTCAATTGTTTTTAAAATGAAAATGAGTACCTTTCTATGAAATGGAGGGAGTATATTTCATTTTATGTCAAATTGTATCATAATATAATTCTAAACTATTCAATTGAAATTACAAATTCGATTTTATTTCTAATTTCACTACAATTTTATAGATGAGATTTCACCAACCGTGCATCGCACGGGTGTTCTACTAGAAATCAATAATATAAATGATGTTTATATTTGAGTATTGTTTAGTACTGTCATAACACACTTTCACATATTTGCACACCCCCTGATTTGCCATTTTACCCAGGCAATTCGTGTAATGAATGTAATTCGCATAAATACATAGTCACCATATTACTTTAGATGTTTATACTTAGACTTATTTCAGTCTCAGACCAAACCAAACTTAAACAAACCAGACCAGACCATACTTGGATATTAGAAATAGTAGAAGCACCGATTTGAACATTTTCCCATAAATTTAGATTCAAATATGGTTCAAGAATGACATAACACACTTTCACATATTTTACTCCTTTATTTTACCTATTTAGAGAGACAATTCGTCTAAAAAATGCAATTTGTGTAAATTTATAGTCACCTTATTACTTAGTAATTATAAATAATTTAGCTTCAATTAATTTTTATAAACCTTGAAAATGAAAAAACTGTCAAAATCATTTGCGCATTGCAAGGTGAATTACTAGCAAACCATTTTATTAAAAGAAATGATTTTGACATAAGTTAGTGCGAGCTAAAATGTGTTGATTCCTAAGCATTCCTATTAACAACTTCAAATGTTAGCAGATAATATGTTATGACTATAAATAAAAGTCAAGGTTAATCTTTGTCCCGTGTTGGGTTGTTGTTAAAAAAACCGGTATTTACCCATGGACAGTTGTATGTTGCAGTATCAAGGGTTACCAATCGTTGTCGTTTGAAAATTCTAATTGTTGATGAAGATGGAGGAACCACTGACAAGACTCAGAATGTTGTATTAAGAGAAGTGTTCAATAATGTTTAGATTTACATTAAATGCATATTTACAATGTTATGATTTCAACGTATTTGTTGGATGTTTTTGATCTTCTAAGTCATGCTTAGTACTCTCATTTTGACAATAATATTATAAGTGTATTTCGTTTAATGATTTGATGTATATCAATATTACATGAAGATGAATAATGTCATCAATTGATAGTGTGATTTGAATTATTAAGCACACATAAATTTGAAAGAAAAATTCTCAAACCGTGCATCGCACGGGTGAGTTTACTAGTTTAGAAATAACAAATCAATTTGAATGGGTTTGCGAGTTGGGAGATTTAGACTTGGGAGGCCTAACATGATGACTTAGTAATTTTGTAATTAAAAGTATTACTCCCTCCGTCCCAATTTGATGATCTCATTTCTTTTGGACTCAAAGATTAAGGAAGTGGTTGAAAAAGTAAAAGTTGTGGTTGAGATTTGAGTAGAAAAAAGTGAAATGATGTAGACCACATATTTCTTTCCAAAAAGGGAAATGAGACTATCAATTTGGGACGGCCCAGAAAGGAAATACGGGATCATCAAATTGGGACGGAGGGAGTATAAAACTGAGATCCGAAGAGAATTAAGATAGACATGCTACTTTACATTTATTTTAAAAATTAAATCATGAGCGAATTAATTGAGCTTAAAAATTAAAAAATAAAATCTATTAACACTACATACAAACAAATATTTTTAGGCCTAGGACGGCCCCTTAATGTACCATCCGGGTAGGTATTTTTGCTCATCCTAATATGTCTCAGTAGAGTTCCTCTTCGTACATACCCCAAGATATATACAGTAAGAAAATCTCTGCAGAATTATATTCCACCGTTGGATAACTCCAAATGACTGATTCGTCTTGTTTCTTCCACCACATGTCACACATGCATGCCTGATCTTTGGGATTTGAACAACTTAATATTGAAAGAACTACTCCGTAAAAGATTTTATTTGATTCTTTCTGAAGATTTAGCCCCTAGCCTAGCTGCTCCTGCGGCTATAAAGGGACAGCGTGCCCTAGCTACTTCATGCTGCGATGCAAATCAAACAAAAAGAATAATGAGGATTTTGAGAAGCTCTTCTTCTTCTTCATCAAGAATAAAGATGAAGATAAATGCCAATCTTTATCCGTCCTTCTTCAGGATCTACTTGGGTGAAGCCCTTTTCCGGGAACGCATTGTAAGTGTCAATTTGGTTATTAATTACTCCAACTATTAATCATTCATAAATTTAATCCAACTATATATAGTCAATGATGTTACATTTAATATGTGAATAAACAGCATGTACCACGTGCTTTCATGGATGCACACGGGGACAAGCTGTATGAGAGTTCATGGACTGTGAAGACAGAAAAGGGAGGGTCCAGAAAAATGAAGATAGAAAGACAAGGAAGAGATTCATTCTTCTGCAAAACAGATTGGGAAGATTTTGCTACCGATCACAACCTAGGCTATGGAGACATTATTGTGTTTTTTCTGGTTGGAAAATCTGAGTTGGATGTTCTGCTTCTTAGCCAAACCACTTCTTGCCGTATTGAGAATAAAGCTGATGAAAGTGGTGATGGAATTGATGCATTATCTCATGATGATGAAGAGGAGGATGACAAGAAAGATATTGAAATTATCCCAACAAAACCCAAGAGGAACAAGCCATCGCGTTCCTATGGCAGAAAGTCTAAAGTAACCTCTGGTATCATTTTACTCTTTACCTTCGTTTTGACATATTTTACTTCCTACAAGTCTACAACTACTATACAACTACAACCCTCTATTAAATTCACTCTTTGAATTACGAGTTTGTAGATAGAATTTTTTTTTAAATTGAGTTTTCAAATTTTTCAAAGAATGAGGGAGACTAATTATGACGGACTACTTGTAGGTGTAAAAGAGTCTTTTACTACTAGTACAAATTATTTAGGAAGAGGGAAGGTGTGAGTTTGATACTTTGATTTGGGTACATGTATCTAGAACAAGAAATTGAGAACCTAACTTTATTTTGGCTTATTAACTTTTTGGGTCAACATTTTAACTCCGCATTATAAAGGCTGTAGCGTGTAATAAGTAAGATTAAATTTATTGTTTTTGAACTTATTTAGTTAATTTTCATATAATTTTTTGATTGATTTATAAATAAAATACTCGTATATTTCAAATACTCTGTATAATGTTTTCATATCCTACCATATTCAGCCTATTAAGTCAAAAATTTATAAATGTTAGCAGAATGAGCTGATTCAGCCAATTTCAATGTTAGAAACATGTTCTAAAGTACATAATACTCAATTGTTAAATAAAGAAGCTCAGGGTGGAAATATTATCCAATATCCATATCAAGTTATCAACCAACATATTTTGTACTCTGTAGTATTGAGATGAGGGTAAATGGAGGAAGATAGCGTGGAGACTCTAATTTTTTTTATTAGTTAATGCAGAAAAGGAAGTGAAGACAGAGTGTGAAAGTGAAGCAGAGGGAGTAAAGATTCAAAGGTTCAGTAATGTCAATCTCTCTACTCGGTATCCTTACTTCGAAACTGTCGTGAAGCGGAGCCACGCGGATAAAAGTTACATGGTACATACTAATTAATAAATAATTATGATGATAATGTTTCTAATATAGTATACAAGTATGTGTAATTCATTATTAACTTACTGCTTTGATTTATTTAATGAGTTAAATGCCATTATAAGTTGGAGTGTATGTGTATAATTAACTTTGTTGGATGTTTGGGTTGGTTGAATTAAATGAATAGTTCATCCCTTTGGACTTTGCACGCAAGACGGGAATCATTGATGCAAAGGAAGTAAAACTGATGATGAGAAGCCCCGGAGGGCAATATGGGAAGAGTGTGAGGGTGCGGATTTCGAGATTGGATCATAGGGTCCATATGATCGACGGGTGGAGGTCATTTGGGCGGGCCAATGATATCAAAGCAGGGGACGAGTGCTCATTTACTCTGGTTAATCCCAACACCAAAGGAGTCATGCGACTATTGGTCAAAAAACTCTTCAAATGAGAAGAAAATATTTGGAATTTTGCATGGTGTACCAGCCCAAGTGTAACCAAGTGTAATTATGTATGTATAGATAATTATGTTGGGTTTAGTTAAAAACATGTTTGTGATCCCGAATTGTTTAGACATAAACAATTCATTTTTGGAGTCACAAACACTTCTCCTTACTAAAATCTCAAACTAAAATCTCAAGTGTGATTGTCTATCAATATAGACAATTACACTTGAGCGTGTAAGTCTGTGTGTAACCTGACGTGGACAGGTCATCCATATTTGTGTCATCTTTTTGGGTATGTGTGTAATTTCACGGGCCTGTGGGCTGTGTACCTATTTGGTACGTTTTTTGGTTGACTTAGATGTACTTAAGACCTACGATTGGGAGCCGCATATTTGTTTAAGACATAAGCACATACTCCGTAATTTTGATCCGTTGTTTGGTCTTTTAAACTATTAAAGTGCGTTCCTCTTTTACACTCTTACCAACAGTTCAAACCCACTTTAAAATGGCCGCTTAATATTGTACGGAGTTCTTGAAATATCAGTTGGGTATATGGCGGCACCTTAGTTGGTTTTAATAACTTGAAAAAAAGTTTGGGACAAATCATATGGCAGGGTTAGAAAATGTATGCGGTTAATGATCTTACTTTTTGGTACAAATGCATAGTGTAAATATGTTTGTGAAAAAGAATATATAATTACAGTTTTATCAATGGCTATTAGCCTTACATTGCTTACATAGAAGTTAATTTATTCTTAAATGTATAAATTAGACTATACTTCTTTTATTCTCAAAATAGGAGTACTATATGTTCCATCTTCATAGGCTAAAGGGTCAAATAGGTACATGAATTAACTTAAAGTGTTCAATTAGCCCCTTATATAGGAGGTTCTGCCCGGCCGGTGCCAATTGGGACGGTTCCCGGTTGAATTTTTTGATGAAATTTTATGAGCATCTTCTTCATTAATTCTAGTTTACTCATATCAAATTTCAGTTAAAAATAAAATCGGAAAGGCAGTCAAATGATTTTCCGAAATGTACTACGTTGTTTAATTGCGCATTTATCTTCAAAAACTCATTTGACTGCCTTCCCGGATAAACTTTTAATTGAAATTTGGTATGGGTAAACTAGACTTAATGAAGAAGATGCTCAAACAAATTCATCAAAAAATTCCACCAGGAACCGCCTCAATTGGCGACGGCCGGGCAGATCTTCCTATACAAGGGGCTAATTGAACATTTTAAGTTAGTTCATGTACATATTTGACCCTTTAGCCATCTTCATATTCTACCCTTTTCGTTAATCACAATAGGATTTATGGATCGAAGTATTTCATGAAGGGAAAATCATTGTCATAGTCCCTCAAATAGTACCAATATTGAATGTAATCCCTGTATTTTCATTGTTGTATATGTCACCTCTCAATTGTCTACATACATTGTTGTAAATGTGGGTGTTTAGGGTGAAATGTACAATGTTGGCGAGAATTACATTTACATGCACCTGATGGTACCATGACTCAATTACGGAGTTAAGATCAAGTCCATAACGAGATCAAGCCATTAACGGGATCAACCTATAAGCAGGATTAGCCCTCAATGGGATCAGCCCTTAACGGGATCAAGCCCTAAACAGGATTAATATTAGTTAGCCGTTAGGCCTAATTAGGAGTCACGCCCACGAGAGGAACCCACAACCAGGTCAGGCTGGACAGCAGACCTCGAGCCTGGGCAGAGTTCTAGTGAGGCTGGGATATTCCTAGGGCTTACATGGCAGGCTATCATTTGAGCATAGACATCTGACAGTAGGCATGCATGAATAACAGAAGAAACCTGGACTTAAAGGAACAATTATTGCACAACGTCCAAGGCGTTACAGGAGTCCTATCCGACTAATATGTGATTAATAACATTTATTGTATCAGTTTCCTCCTAGAATACTAATTCCTATAGTGTATAAATACTTCTTGTATACTTCCTATCAAGTGACCGAACTCCGGATAATAAAATAATGGGAAAGTTCCCGAAATAGGACTAAAACAGTTTGAAAATTCCAAAATAGGACTGTCATGTTTGTTATTCCCAAAATAAGAGTAATTACTGCCAAGTTTGGAAAATACTGCAATTTTTGAAGTCTGGTACTGCCAAAACATGGCAGTAATTAGTCCTATTTTGGAAATAAAAACATGTCAGTCCTATTTTGGAATGTTCAAACCTTTTTAGTCCTATTTTGGGTAAATTCTCTAAAATAATGTCTTACGCTATCTAATTTTCATCTGCTCTCGTACATATAGCTCTCGTAGTTAGATTAAACTCCATCAACACCGTAATCATTCAGACAACTGAGAGGTAACATTTATCCACTTAAAAACATGGAATTGCATTTCAACATCGGTACTATTTAATAATGATGTAATCAAATAGAGACACTTGTAATAAATACTTCGTAATAAAGTGGCATTGTTGTACAATGTATCAAACATATTTTACAATTAAAACTTCTAGTCATCAAAATTGGACAATACACACAAGATAGAATAAGAGTGACGTCTGGAGCTGGGCCGCCGTTGGTCTGGACTCCAAACTGCTTGTAGTCGCCCGCTGTCTTTGGGTCGTTGTTTCATAGTCAGCCAGCCCACTGTTTCTGCTCCGACCCACAGAAAAATTAACCAACAAACAAACAAACCTTATTTATTTACTTATAATAGATTTCTTTTCACACACACTCAATTCATTTCCTCGCATAATTCATCATCTCAATAATTAATTTTAAAAAACCCGTAAAGAATGGCATCCGAGATTTCGAAGAATCGCAATTCACAAAGCGAAGCTGCTGCTACGACGTCGTCAGTGACGAGCCAGCTTCATCTGTCCAAGTCATCCTCTGCTCCATCCTCGGCTCTTGACAGAGACGCTGTTCTCAGCCGTCTTCGCCACCACAAGCGTGTCCAGACGGTTCGCAGAAAACTGAAGGCGGTGTTCGGAAACCCTCCGCCGCCGCCCTCCGCCGCGGAATCGACTGACACTTCGTCGGCCTGTGAAGATAACAAGTGGCTGCAGTTGAGTGATGTCTTCTTCTCCCCGTAACATTCATAGATTCCCTGGTTGGGATGAGGCCGGCAGCATTGGATGCTCAGAATTTCTTAGGGAGTGTTTGGGATTGCTTGTGCTTTTTGAAAGTGATTTTTTTAAGAGATTACTGAAAAAGTGATTTATAGTAAAAGTGGGTAGTGTTTGTAAATAGAAGTGATTTTGGTTAAAAGTTAAAAGTTGATGTGTTTGATAAAAAAAGTGATTCCTAAAGTAAATTACAAAAATAACCTCCAATAAATTAGATAGCCATGACTGTACAATAACATGCTCTGGACGGAGATCTAAGATACGCATGCCCGTATACTCAACCAACTTTTATATGTTCCATCAGTTGCCATTTCAAGGAGATAAAATGGAGAAACATTGAAAATGAGTTCGAATATACTCGTGTATGTTAAATAAAAAATAGTGCTAATTATAATTGACATACAAATTAAAAGGGAATTTTACAGAGAAAAACGGAAAAAGGATTTGGGCACAACAGAGACCGACAACGGCGAAGCGGACCGACGGCGGCGAAGCGGACCGACGGCGGCGATGGAGATCGACTGCGGTGGGGGCGAAGGAGAATTTCCATTTGGAGGACGAAGTAGATCATCTATGGTGGCGGTGAAGTAGACTAGCTGTGGTGGCGGCAAAGAAGAGTGGTAGAGCGGTGGTGGGCTGGTGGCGAAGTACATCGGCGGCAATTTTTGGATGACGGAAGGACGAGTCTAGCGTATGATGCTTTGGAACGATGGAATGCAGGTGTGTACGATGCTTGTGGGGCTGTGGGGACTAAGGGTATTTTTGAATTAACCTATATATTTAGAAATAAAATTATACCAAAAGTTGAAGTTATTTACGCAAATACCAAGAAGCAGAAAAAAGCATGCCCAGACCTGCTTTTGGCTTTTGGCTTAAAAGTGATTAAATTAAGCTGAATTTTTCTTTTGCAAACACCTCAATTAGCTTTTACACTCCAAAAAAGTTGAAAGTGCTTTTTTTAAGCATTAGCAAACACACCTTTAGAGTGATAAAAGATTGTATAATTACTTTGGAATAATTAAAGATATCAATAAGTTGTACGTAGTAAATATATATGACTACCTTCTTCCCATTTGATTGTCTTATTTTAAAATTGACACAATTATTAATTAATAAAGGGGTTGAGAGAGTAAAAGTTATGATTGATTTGAATATAATAAAGTTAAATGAAGTAGATCATATTTTTTTTCAAAAAAAGGAAATGTGACATTTATATTGTAATCCAAAAAAAAAAAGTAAGTAAAATGGAACGGATGGATTACTACGTATAATTCTAGTAATGATTATGATGTGGTAAGTATTGAGTAACAGAGTAGAAAGTTACTCCTAGTCCACTTAAAAATTCTCATAAGATTTACGGAGTATAATATTTCACTAATAACAAAATTAATTTATATATGCCAATAATAAATTAATTTCTAATAAATAAAATTACTGATTCAAAAATTATATTACAAAATTTATAAAATCATAAGAAACTCAAATTTGATAAAAGCATGATATAAATTACACCAAAAAGTAACAAATGGAAACCTTAATATGGGACTATGGCAGTAGTTCATTTGAGTTCAAATATTTTTGTTTATAGCAACTTTCTTTTTTTTGCTTATGACAATTTCTTTATTTGTTACTTTCTTGAACTTGGATTCTGTTTTATTTACGTAAATTTCAATTGCATAAAATTTTAGTTTTCTTATCTCAGATGTAACTATCTAAATGAATTCCAAATGTATACTTATGAATTATACATATTAGTTATGAATTCAAGACAAAAATATTACTAATAATTATTTAAATGATATAAAAGAGACCTTTTAAAGTTTTCAAAAAAAAAAAGTTTCAAGAAGGACAAATATAAGGAATAATGCCAAAATGGGACAAGGGAGTCATCGAAAGACAGAAATAAAGCCGAGTTTCCCAATGGACAAATATGAGACAAAGAGAGGTGTGAAATTTCACAACTGCCCCTGTGTATTTTCTTCTCCATCCTCCCTGCTTCAGCGTCGACCGAGACCAGCAACGAGTCTTATGCGCCGAAGGAAACCAGACAACCAGCAGCTTTCAATCTCAACCGCCCACTCCATCGTCTTGAACTCTTCGTCGTCGCCATCCTCTCTGTCTTCACCACTGCCGCCGACTTCGTTCTAGTTTTCTCCTCTTCTACTCTTTCTGTCCGATTGCGAGCAACCTAGGGTTTGCGGGAATGGCGGCGAGTCGGCGACACGGTGGTGTGGAACTGTGGATAGGGCTTCGAGGCAGAGACAGCTAGGGTGGCGATGTGGTGGTTCGAATCGCTTTTCTTCACCACTGCGGCGGTGCCTTCCAATTTTATTTTACTCCTGTCTCCGACTGGGTTACACCCAACATCAATTGCACATGAGCGCTTCAATATTTCGCAGGTTCAGAATTGGGATGCGCGCTGGAGATCTGTGTTTGTGTTTGGACTTTGCAGATTCCGATGTTAGATCTACAGTGGTGCTCCATTTTTTGCAGATTCTGGATCTAATTTGTACAGTGGTCGTGGTTATGGCGTCCGCGAGGGCTGGGAGGGCTTGGGGGTTGGGTGTGGTGGTGCCGGAGGGGCAGGGCGTTGGGTGTCTCAGGGGAGGGGGCTGAGGTGACGCAGGGAAGGGGGCTGGGGTGGGGGAGAGGTCTGGGGTGTAGTGTTGGCGGCGGCGGTTGGTGGTAGTGGCCGAAGGTGAGTTTCGGCGGTGGTCGCCGGTGACAATCGATATCAGTTGCTGGTAACAGGTGGGAGGTGTTGGCTAGCGGTAATTATTATCGGGTTCGGGTAATTGTAAATGTTTGAACACGGAAATTGTAACTGTGGCCGAACGGGTCAATAAGTGTAACTGGACGGGTCAGGTAACTGTAACTGGACGAGTCAGGTAACTGTAACTGTTAGACGATGGTCATTGTGGCGGTGGTCACTTCACGTGAATCACTATAAAAATTGATCACCGAGCGGATGTCACTTCGTCAATTGGTCACTGTACAAAAGTCACTGCACATTTGGTCACTGTGATGCAGGTCACCGGTGGGACATATTAATTTTTTGTCACTAGATGAATTTTGTAACTATGTCATTGGTAACTGTAACATTGGTCACTGCACATTTGGTCACTGTGACGGGTTACTGTAGCAGGCCAGTGGGTTTGGGCTTAGTAAGGGTGTAACAGTCCCTTAAGTATTGTTTAGTCTTATTTTTGGGACTTAAAATAAAATTGTCTTTTTTTGTCCAAGTGCTTTTAATTAGTATTATTTGAGGACAAACCCCCAAATATATTCGCATTTTAGACTCTCAAATAATGTTCACATTAAAATGTAGTCATCGTGTATTCAAATGCAAAATATCACTCCTAAATTGTAGAATTGTTATAAATGTTGATGTCATTTCTCAGTTGTACGAATTGTTGCAAATGTGGTATTTTCTCACATTGTAAATGTCACCCGTCAAATAAAGGTCCACCATAATAATTTGGAGAATCGAGGGATGATTTTAATGTGATCACATTTCAACGTGGTTAATTATCATTTGAAGGAGTGAAAGTATGATTTTCCCTCGGATGTGAATTACAAATTTTATTTTACAATGTATATGCTTTCTCTTAGGTCCACGACTCATTATAAATGCATCTTTTGAGCAACTATATTTAAACATGAGACTGATGGGTTGATTTGAATAATAATATAATAATATCAGGGACCGACTACGAGTGACCAAGATACGAGCTAGCTTGACAAAATATTTTTTGCAGTTCCTTTTAATTTAAGATTCCAGTAGTCTTCTTTTATTGATCATTTGTTGAGCTGATTTTGTTAAATTAATATTTCCCTCCTCTTATCTCTCGTGAAAAATTGAAATTCCACTTTGCGATTGTTCCTCCGTACATAGCGATAGCGTGTATAGCGGCTATAACCTTTGAGCGGGACAAGGATCTAACCCTCTTTTCCTTAAGAGTGACTGGTGAGTTGTTTGAGTGTTGGGTTTCGGAGGGGAGGAGAAGGTCGATGAAGGTTTATGATCATTATTTTCATGTTTGGAAGTTTATAAAATTGGAAGTGATGATTTTGGAGGGATTTCGTGATCCACTAAAGATCAATTTTTGAGTTCCACTAATTTGAAAGGTTTCGAAGGATAATTAACGAAATGACATTTTAAGATCAATTATAAATAAATATTAGTTCAATTATTTGAATTCGTCATATCTTAAAGTGATTTTTATTATAATTCATTCAAAAACTCTCTTCTTCCAAAAACTCTCTTCCCTCCAACAACATACCTCCAGAGCCTTCTCCTCTTCTTCCTTCCAAACTCTTAAACATACACTAAGGATATGTTTGGGAGTTGGATTTCGGAGAGAGGGGGGATGGTTGACAAGGGTTTATGACCCTCCATTTCATGTTTGAGAGTTAAAAAATATGGACGGGTGGTTTTGGAGGGCCTTTGTAGCCCTCCAAAACCCTTTAAATGCTCAATTTTCAAACTCCCCCAAATTGGGAGATTTTGAAGACATGGATAACTAATTAGGATGTTTTTACTTGGATTGTAATCCGTCCCAGACTAGACTAGACCAAACTTGGATAGCTATAAAAATACAAAGAATACAAACATTACCATATCAGACCAGTTCAGACCAAACCAGACTAGACCAGCAAATTATAGTCCAAGTAAAAACATCCTTAAACGACAACTTCAGTTCAATTTTAAATAAATGTAAACTCAATTATTTGAATTCGTCATATATGTGAAGTGATTTTAATTATAATTCATCCAAAACATTTATCTTTTCAAACTTGATATTCAAAAACAAGAAGAATAGTTTCCAACTCTTTCCCTCCCTTTCCCTTCCAATGACTAACCTCCAAAATCTTCCTCTCCCCTTCCCTTCAAACTCTCAAACATACCCTAATTAAAACATTGTCAACTTTTCGTTTTTTGGATTCTCACCAACTTTGTCATTTTTTCTTTTTAAAAAGAAGTTATGGTCCATGTTGAATCTCTCTCCTTTGCACAAAATTCAACCACACAGTTTTTACTTTATTAATTTATGTGTCAGTCTAATTTGGCTAAGTTTTAAGGGACAAAGGGAGTATATTTGTTATGTTTTCCATTCCAATTACTCATCATCAATTCAATGCTTAATCATATGATTAAAATCCTTTATACTCAAATTGTATCAACCATTAATCCAGCTATATAAAC